CACACACACACACACACACACACACACACACACACACACACACACACACACACACAAACAGCCCAACTACTATGGTTTTGAAAGGAAAAATTTGTTTCTCCGTTTAGCCTCCGCTGTGCTGCAGCTGACAACCAGGAAGCAGACTTTGATCCTTTGCTTTCGCTGTCACTCCCTCGTTCAGGAGCAGGATAAAGGGAAAGGTGCACCTGCTATTGAAAGACGAGCCGGGACTGGTGTCATCCTCTCGCTTGGCCTTCCGAGCCACAGGCAGATCAGCTGCCTTTTGAAGTACCCTTCAAGCAGGCGACAGGGAAACAAGGCAAAGTAATAATACTCCTCGCTTATCTCCATGCCATACAGGTTTATCTGAGTACGGCTGAGGGCGTTTACCAACATAGATAACAAAGCAAGGAGCAGCCTGGCAGTGTGTGCCGTGTATTACTGATCAGACGTTAATATCATTTTACACTTTCTTTATTAAACACATACAGTTTATATGTGTCTAATTTAGAAATGTATATTTGGAAGCATTCAAATAAAATGTGCATCATCTATAATTTATACATTAATTGTCTCTGCCACCCCTCCTACTCACCCTACTTAAGGACTTTAAAGATAAATGTTTTATATATATACATATATATATATATATATATTTGAGTGAAGAATCTTTTCCTTTTGGCCACACTGCTTTTAACAAATCAGTTGTTCAAATGACTCTGATATGGTAAAATAAAGTGCAAGTGACAATAAAGAGTCTTTAATGCTTTTTTTTACATTTTGTCTGACTGTTGTTGATTATATCAAACATTCCAACAAAGTCTAAATGGGCCTTAAATCTCAGGTTTCCTCATTCTGAACAGTTTTAAATCATCAGCTACATTTGAGGTCGCAGTTAAAAACTTAACAACTTATTTGAACTGTTTGTTTCCAGCAGCGGTGGGCACAGTTCCCCTAAAGCACTAATTGGGGAACTAATTTCCTGATTAGTGCTTTAGGGCTTTTGCTAATTTTAACATGTTTTAGTGGATTAGCACTTGCAAAATTTGTAGGCTGAATTTAGAAGCACTAACTGAGGTCTATAAATGTTATTGATCAACGTTAATGTTGACAGCTGAGGATGAAAGCTGTCACACATTTTGTTCATATGTGTCACTTACCCACCAGGTGACAAAATATTAACAATAAATGAACCCAAATCCAGCTGTGGAATGTCAATGATAAGTCTGAAGAGAGCAACATGACAACATGTGACTCATGTTGTCTGTTGAAGAACATTCATGGGTTGACTGGGTTATTTTAGTGCTTTAGAATTAGCTTTTGCTAAAACTTATAGTGAGTCAGTGCTTTGGAATTAGGGGACCTAAATATTTGAGTTAGTGTTTTAGGGATGGTGAAATTAGTTTTTATATTAGTGCTGCCCACCACTGGTTTCCAGAGTAGCATGACTGAACGACATGCCACTTTCATGATATTAAAAAACAGGAACTGGTTTCACACTTTTGAGTTTGTTGCGTATTTTTATTCAACTCAATAATTTTAAAGTGTTCCACGATTAGTTTTAACATTACACTTTATTTGATAAACGTATATCATAACTAAAATAAAGACTGTAAAAATACTGTAGACTGTTTAGTTTTTATAATTTTTTAAAAAATATTTTAACATGGACGGAGCCATTTTATTTACATGCAAAGCATTCTGGGTAAATGATGACGT